GAGCTAGGGGGGTGCGGCTGGCTGAGGGGGGGTGAGGGGGGCCGAGGGGCTGGGGAGGAAGAGGGGCTGGGGCCCCAAGGCCGGCGGCCATCCCACATAAATCAACCCCAGTGGAAGCGAAGAAAAAGGAGTAAAACCGAATGTCCTCGGAAATTCCTTTAGTGCTCAGCTGTCCGTGAAAACAGGATAAGGTGGCTTCCTCTGTCTGTGCTCCCGGGCGGGGTGGAGGCGCTGAGCTCAGGCCAGGACTCCTGAGTCAGGACAGGGGTGGGGCTGGGCTCTGAGCTGGGGAAGGGGCTCCGGGCCGGCGTTGCTACTTGAGGGCATCCAGGTGGGTGCAGACCTGGGAGAAGACGCTGTCCACGGAGCCTTCGGCATTGACCTGCAGGGAGACTGGTGGTGAGCAGAGACGCCGGGGGCTGGGCGGGCCCCACCCCCGGAGGCCGGCCTGTATCCGGAGTCCAGCCGCCATGGGCAGCAGCCCCTCATCAAACCAGTGGGCAAGCCATGGCCCAGGGAGGGTGGCTAGCCCAAGGCCCCAGCAATTGGAGGCCCAGCCAGGAAAACAACCCAGGTTTCCCAGGGCTCCCTCGGCCTGCAGGGGCCGCACCTTGCGCACGATGCCGCGTTTCTCATAGAAGGCGATGACGGGTTCCGTGGCCTTGTAGTAGGTATCCAGCCGCTTCTTGATGGTCTCCTCGTTGTCGTCCACACGCCCACTGGTCTCTCCGCGCTTCAGGAGCCGCTGGGTCATGGTCTCGGGGCCTGCGTCCACATACAGCAGCAGGGTGGGCTGTCCGATCTGTGGGCGGGGCACCAGTCACAGGGGCCCTTTTCCTCCTCCCCATCGTCCCACTTCGGGGGGCCCCACTTGAGATCCACTCGGACACTCAGGACAGCCTGACAGACCCTCCCCAAACCAACCTGCCCTGCCATCCCCCGGCCCAAACCTCGACCGTGGCTCCCCAGGGCCCTGGGGGGAAAATGCGAAGTCCTTCCCTGGCCTAGCGGGCCTGCGCCGTTGGGCCCTGTGCCCCCTCCTCATCGCGTGCTCTCACCCCTTTGCTCTCCTGCTTCAGCCACTGACTGGGGTCTAGGCCGGCTCTCATCACCCTCCTCCTGTGCCAGGGACCCCCCAGGAACCTCCTCCCTCCAGGCCAAGTGCTCACCTTCAGATTTCACCTACAATCTCATTCCTCTGGCGCAGCCCCCCAGATGCCACCGCCATCCCCGCCCCTGGGACAGGCTCTTCCAGGCCCTTTACTTCTGCCCTCAGCGCCTCTGGGAGGGCCCCTGGTTCTTGACGTAGCATCCCTCTCCCAGCCTGGCCCGAGCGCAATGGGCTGTCTTACCCCAGCAGGCCTGGATTGGGCTTGACAGAGGAACCAGGGCTAAGGGAAGGGGTGAGGGGCCACTGAGCTCTGGGAGGTTCTGAACAATGTCACTGTCACTGGGATGCGTGTTTCATCACAGGAAGACGGGGAAGGGTGAGAAGAAATAAGGTTCGCCACCTTCCGTTGGTGAGGACCTGGTGCCCCCTGGTGCCCAGAGTCAAAAACACCAGGGGCTGGGCAGGGCCAGGCGCCCAGGCCAACACCCACAACAGCCCCGGGAGGGATGAGAGCTTTCACTAACCCCAAGCTGGTGCCTAGGTCCATGGCCTCCCAGTCTTTGAAGGAAGTCCAGCCAACCCCCATTTCACAGGTAGGGAAACTGAGGCCCAGATCAGGGTAGACACTTCTCTGCAGCCAGTTAGAGGGCAGGAAATACAATATCCTGCCTCTGGATGTGGCTCAAAGCTATGGAAGCCTAAAGATGGCCCCTGTCTCACAGAGTTGGGGAGTGGGACGAGGGTCTGGTCCCGCCCCCAAGCCCACTGGGATGCCTAGTCCTCCTTGCAGGCCTGGAAGGAGTCCTTTGCCAAGAAGCCCCCGAAGTCCCCTTAGTGACCGCTCCCTCCTTGGCACTTACAGCGCCTCTGCTTCCCCATAGGGCGTAGAACACCAAGAGGTATGGGTGTATGTGTGTATATGTGTGTGCCCGTGTGTGCATGTGTGTGCATCTCTGTGTATAGGTGCACTGAGTCTGTGTATATGCATTGCCTGAGGTGCATGTGTGTACCCTGCCAGATGTGTGCACATGGACACAGGCCTGTGTGCATGGGTGCATTTGCCTGTGGCTTCCTGCACACATGTGTGCCTATGTGTTTGTGTGCCTGTACATGTGTGTGTTTGGGCAAGATGCTCTTGCCCTGTGGAAAGTTTTCCTGGTGGGCACTCATTCCAGGCAGCTCAAAGGCATCGTCCTCAAGGCCCTCTCTCTCCAGCCAGACTCCCGGTGGCCCCTGGAAGGAGACTGGACTCTCCCCCGGGCCTGAGCCATCCTCCAGCCAGGCCTGAGCCTCCCTCTCCCACTTCATCCCCAGTTGCCCTCTCCCAACAGCTGTTCTCTCTACACGAGCCTGACCCTTCCAGCCCTGTCCATGCTGTTCCCTGCCCCTCCCACCATGTGCTTACACTGAAGAGTACATTCTCTCTAATCCTCATGCTGCCCCACAAGGCAGCTGGGCCCCGTCTATCCCCATTTTGCAGATGGGAACACTGAGGTCCAGAGAGGCAGAATGACAGCCCAAGGCCTCGAGCAGCTGGGCTGGGACCGGAGCCTGGCCTCCTCAGCCTGGTGCTTCCCATTCTTCTAGACTTTTTCTTCTGGATTCTAGACAGAACCCAGAAAGCGCTTCCCTGGTTCCCTCCTTCCCCAGCTCCTATCACCCACAATCTCTCTCTCTCTCTCTCTCTCTCTCTCTCTCTCTCTCTCTCTCTCTCTCTCCCTCTCTCTCCTTTTCTCCCTCCATCATAGCAGCCTCTGCCTGGCTGCCCCTGTCACGGATCCTGAAGACCATCCACCAGGTTGTGCCTTACCCTCCGCTCAAACTCTTCACCCTGCTGCACCTCCCGAGGGTAGCCATCGATCAGGAAGCCTTTGGAAGTATCCACCTTGGCCATCATGGCGTCTCGGAGCATGTCCAACACTGTCTCCTGCGGGCACAGCAGAAGGAGGAGCGGCCGTGAGCCCCGCTTCCCCACCCTCCTCAGGGGTGCGCTGCCCCACAGCTGAAACGCCCCCTGTGCGGACAGCTCCCAAACCAGCCCCCTCAGGCCTCCCTGAACCAATGGGGAGGCGGTGGATGGCTCAGGTCCTGCATTCAGCTGGGCCCAGAGGACACAGCAGTGAACACAGCAGGCCTTCCCTGCCCTCAGGAAACTCCATTATCAACTTCCAGGCATGACTCAGCTTGTGGGCAGAGAAAGGGGCTACTGGAGTGTCACGTTAGGGGGTCTGCGCCCAAATCGGGTGAACCAGAGGCCTGAAAGCTAAGGAGAAAACCATTCCAGGCAGGAAGGCGTACGATGAGTTTGAGGGGACAGAAAGGCCGGGCTGGTGGGAGGGTGGAGGGGTCAGGCAGTCAGAGTCCTGGAGGCTCCTGGGAGCTTCTGGAAGAAATTCTGTGCCAGGGCAATGGGCACCCACAAAAGGGTTCAGCGCCAGGGAAGGTCACGGCCAGCCTTGCCAGCGTGTCGTGGGCTTTGACGGCTGCCGGCCACTTAGGGCCATATCACCCCCGCCCCCACCCCGCTGGGGCCCACTCACCAGCGGCACCAGCTGCCCCTTCTCCATGATTTCCGACAGCATCTTGCCCCTGGCCGAGCCCGAGCTGACCTCGGCCCGAAGGAGGTCCCCGGTGGACAGGTGGGTGTAGCCGTACTTCTGGACAATCTTCTCGCACTGGGTGCCCTTCCCCGAGCCGGGCCCGCCTGCAAGCGCCCGCCCGTTCAGAGCCCTGAGAAGCGGGTCCTCCGCGGGGACAGGGTCGGCCCAGGTCACCCATCGAAGGGGCAGAGCCCAGGGCGCAGTCCCCGGCCCCGGCTCCCGCCAGTGCCTGCACAGACCCCCCTGCTAGCGCCTCGCCCGCCTGCCCTGGACCCACCCACCACAAAGATGATCTTGGTTTTCTTCAGCTTCTCTGTTGGGGAGAAAGGGGGGCAGAGCTCAGACACGTAGTGGGCGGCACCTCTGATCCCAGGTCTGGGGTGGGCCTGAGGCAGCGGGACCAGCCACTCACCCTCCTGTCAGGGAGGCAGACCGCCCGCCTGCCCTGGACTCACCCACCACGAAGATGATCTTGGTTTTCTTCAGCTTCTCTGTGGGGGAGAAAGGGGGGCAGAGCTCAGTCACTCGTAAGACACGTAGTGGGTGGCACCTCTGATCCCAGGCCTGGGGTGGGCCTGAGGCAGCGGGACCAGCCGCTCACCCTCCTGTCAGGGAGGCAGACAAGTCACAGCCCAGAGCCTGGGACAGGTCGGGGGAGAGAGGGCGGTCCAGGCAGAGGGACCAGCAGAGGCAAAGGCCCGGAGGCCACAGACAGAGGCCGTAAGAGTGACCCTGGGGGGCTCGAGTCACCCCCGTCCCGGTGGGAGGCTGGGCGGCAGCTGGCGG